TTTCAACTACCATCTTGAGGACCAACAAAGTATTATTATAACTTAGATGGTAAATGGTAAAAATATGTATCTGACATTATTTTCCACCATAGTGATTATAATTTCCCAAGCTAATACTTCTTGTCATCCCGTGCGACCATTCTGAGTTCGTCCTGTGGCCCATGAATTTAACCCATTCGCGCCAGGTGTCACGTATACATGACAGGCCCACTGTGAGTTTACTTGTTTAATTGTTTTTAAACATAGATGGCTACACTTGTACTTGTACTGCCTGTCTCGCCTGTTTTCCCTTTTCTTTAATTTACAAAAAATTGTTACGGTATTTTATTTTATTGTTACTAATGTTTATAACATCATAGTAATTATAATGTTGATAATAAAAATAACCATCGGTATTCAAAGCACTAGTAAAAATACATTTTCCCGCCAATTCAAGTAAAGGTGAAATCAGGTAAGGCAGAGCCATCTAGTGTAGAGACATTTTACAAAAAAAATATAAAAAATGAGCACAGCATTTTTCCGATTTTTTGTTCATTTTTACCCGGCGCAAATGGGTTAAGATCCCTGCTTTAAGGTTTTAATGCTTTCAATAGGGACAACCCACTGATAACAAATAATATCAGTACATATAATGGTAAAGGGTTAGCCATCACAATGGACACTGTTCTCTATTCTGTATTACACTGGCATGGATTTTTGTGGTTCCAAAACAACAAGCACTCAAATTACAGTTAAACCACCCAAAATCAGCCTAAATCCTCATTTTTCAATATTTTATAGAAATAACAAAACAATAATCAACTTGTCCAGAATCAAAAACAATGGAAAACATTTTTTTACAGTTCTAATTCTTGAATCATGAGAGCAATTTTGACAATAAAATCAGCATGGCAGTTAATGCTCTGATTATATTCTAGCTACATGGTGTTCCATGGGTCTAGTATTATAAGATACCTTCACTTGTAGTTTGATACAAATGATGCCACTTATTATTAGGTTAGAATAATTATGTCAAGGCACAACTCTGCTCCACATACTCACCAATGACACACACTTCCTGTCCTTCTCCAACCATATCTCCTGGAGCACAAGCTATGGACTTCACCAAGCCAGGCATTGGAGACAAAACTACTTTACTCTGGTCAACCTGGAAGAGGAAATATTAGAATAAATTCACAGTGCACATTTTTACCAACTTCAAGAGTAGAACAAAAAACTTTTTTTATTTACCTTTATGCAAAAAACACTAAATTTGCATGATCAAAACAAAACTGTTAAATATGTTACTATTTTCATCCAATATACAGTAGTACTAGTATCCCTCAGGCTTATCAAATATACACCTTAATCCACAATAACGTTATCGAGGGCTAACAATAGGTATATAAAACACAAGAATCATTCACACATTTACAATTTCTGAACTATAATCATGCAAAAGCTAAGGAAAACAAAAATTAATAATAATCATTCCACTTCACTTTCACCTCCTGTGTCATACTGAAAACATTTCTGTACCTTGGGTTTCTCTGGCATGTAAGAGAGGTAGCGATGGGCTGTATCTGTGACCACAGTGGTTTGGAATGCTGTTCCTTTATATCTGGGTAAAGAGAAAACATGTACGAAAAACTGCACATTTACAGATTTTCCAATGCCAAAAAACTACTAATCAGGCTGTATATGACATCTTTCTAACATGTTTGACATTTAAAGAGAGGCTATGTTCAAATGTCTATCAGGAAAATGTTATAGAAATCATATCCAGAACATCAAAATTTTAACTTAATAAATGTAACTTCTATTGCCAGTAAAACTTATATAACTTACCTTATTCTGATCTCACCACCTGAGCCAAGTTTAATGAGTTGAACAGTTTCTTGTTCCCCATCAATATTAGCTTCAATAAGGGGAGCAGCAAGATCAAACTCGGAGTCCACAGCCACAACTCTTCCTTCAACCTTCACCTGAAAGATGGAAAAAGTATATTTTTTCTTACTGTTTGACAAGCTACAGAATAAAATTAAACCTTAAATGAATCTAACATGTACAATCTCTCTATACAAAGAAAAAAGCAATTTGACATTATAGAGAACACACAAAAAATGTTCGTGCTTGAAAATACTCTTTACTGACCTTGAAAGTACCATCCTCCAATTTGACTTCACAAGGTACATCTTCACCAGCAACTCTAGCAACTAAATTCCACGATGAAGGGATTCGGCTATTGACTTTAATCCTTTCTGCATTCACAAAATTTCTGGACCTAAGTGCATCTTTCACATAAATGGAGGCCAACACAGCAGTAAGATCAGCCTAGGATTGAAAAAATACACATGTATTATACACACACATACACAAATATTTGTAGCACAAGTTACAAAATGATAAATGGGACAAATTATATTTCCTCGAAGAATATAATTCTGAACCAGAATGTATGGAAAGAAATAAAAACAAAATATTTGTAATTCCTTTGTATAAAAAATATAATACATTCAACAACATCCGATACCATAGTATTTGAACATATGAAAAATGATGAAAAAGCGGGAGTTATAAATTTACCTTTTCCTTTGATGCTAGTTGCTTCCCCTTAAAGCCATCAGGATAAACCTCAGGAAGGTAATTGGTTGAAATATTTCCTGATACAAAGCGTGCCTCAGTGAGGATGTCTCTTAGCAGGGGAATGTTATGCGTCACACCTGGCAAGATATTATTGTAAACTTATATTATCTATTTTCTTTTAATTTCATTTAGTGTAAAAAAAATTCACTATGCTCTTCCTCTGACAAATAAACATATATACAGCAAATGTAAATCTACTATAGAGTTATCAAATACTATGAACTGTTTTCATTTGGAATTAAATCATCTCTTCTACAGTGGCAGTAGGGACAGTTACTATCATATGAGTATCTCTTTCCAATTACAATATAAACTTAACCCCTATTTCTCAGTGCATCACCATGTGCATTAACGAGTGTATGTAAAGTGCATGATTGCCACACATGCATTTACTGGATGACAAAATACTGTGAAGGTTACTTACCCCTAATCACATAGGCATCTAATGCCTTGATACTGCGCTCCAAGGCTTCTTCTCTGTTGTCTCCATAGCACACTAACTTACAGATCATTGGATCATAATATATGCTAATTTCACTTCCCTCTTCAATGCCACTGTCACAACGAACCTGGTGGAAATCCCAACGATACCATTAACTTTTCTTATTCAACAATTTCTATATGATGTACATGTTGTTCACAAAGTCAATTACTGTTTCCCATGAACATCAGTGTCTTTAGAAAGCACATGAATATCTACATACATTAACCTCCCACTAGCCTCAACATGTACATAAAAAACTCAACTACTACATTCTTGCTAAAGGAGATTTACAATTAGATATATCAAGAATAAAAAGTTATTTAATGCAGCATACGCATGACAATATAATGAGACCATGTTCAGTGCATTAAGCAAAATATCACCTTTGGGAGATGAAGTGGTTCCTGATATTTTGACAGCCGACCAATAGATGGGAGGCCGAAGTTCTTGAAGGGATCCTCGGCATAAACTCGACTCTCGATGGCCCAGCCCCTAATGGGTACGTCATTTTGGCCAATTTTCAGGGCATGTCCTATAACAAAATAAACAGACGTGTACCATTGTATCAATTCTATTGCTAAACTTTAAAGCTTATTATTTACTTGAACAGTTTTATAAAAAATACTTTATCGTTTCATTTATTTACCTGGGTCTGCAAGTCATTGGAAAGACAAGAGACCTTGCAAACAAGATGAATAACACAGCTAACAGGTGGACTCATCATGAAAAGAGCTCACCACTCGCAATATGCTTTACATTGACGAGAAAGCACATTTTTATTCATTCTTTAGAGAACATAATCATGCACATGAATATCATACAATACCGACCTTTAGCCACTCTTATCATTTGGTGCACAAGGTCAACACCTGTAATACACTCTGTGATGGGATGTTCCACCTGAAAAAGGGAAGACCCATGTTCTCGGTTATGTAAAAAAAACTCATCTAAATATATATAGTTTGATGTAGTTTGACGTTATTCAAATCATCAATTGCTTTACACAAATTTCTACAATACAAAAAAGTCAAAACATCTGGATCTATGAAAACTATTTGAATGAAAATTACCTGCAGTCTGGTATTCATCTCAAGAAAGTAGAAATTCTTCTTGGAGTCAACAAGAAATTCAACAGTTCCTGCAGATGAATAGCCAATCTGCTTGGCTAGTGCCACAGCCTGCTCTCCCATAGCTTTCCTTGTGGCTTCATCCAGAAACACACTGGAAGAAAATAAAGGATATCAATGTAACTCAATCAATAGCTAAACTATACTTTTGTTTTCTGATATAAGTCTAAACCAAATTGATAATTTTGTATCCTATTTCCTCAAGCCACTGTATCTAACCTACTTTAAACTTCTGAACACTTTTTGACACTATCCCATCAATATAAGAAAATAAACTGTTAAATATCCTATTCCTTGTGTGTCTTGAATATCTCACCAGAGGACCTGTTCTGAATTTTTGAGGTACACATAAATGGAGAAAGAGATACCTAGTTTAATGTAAGCTTCACTTCACTTCACTTCACAGCTAATAAAGTAATAATATCATGTTTTTACTTGATACTCAAATCTTTATATTCAAAGTGACTGAAAATAGCTGCTAATTTGAGTTGCAAAAAAATCTGTGTTAAAAAAGTTTTAGCACTTTTCACTTTTCTTTAAATGAAAGACTAAACGATAACAGTGCTGTCTACAGGTAAATATTTCAAGTGTTATACAGAACCCTTACTTAGAGGATAACACTTCCAACAACTGAGAACATGGAAATTCTAGAGGAAGTATTGTCACTTATAACATACCTAGGTGCCTCTTCTATGACTTTTTGGTTTCGACGCTGGATAGAGCACTCACGTTCATTAAGGTATATTGCATTGCCGAATTTATCCCCTAATACCTGGGAACAGAATCATTAGCCATTAAGACAAAAGATATGTTGACAAAATACACTATTACAACAATACATTCCATAAACAACCACATAATCTCATAACTGAGGTTTTCATATATAAAATTACTTTAATACTCTTCTCAACAAGCTTCATATTTGTAAAACAAGGAATAGCATTAATAACGGGATAATTCGTCTGCTTTTTAAAAATTATACAATCATTTTCTTAGTTTTCCCTGGTGTTTGGGTAAATCTAAACGTAACAATCACCGAAACGAAACTGAGAACATGTATGTACCTGAATCTCAATATGCCTTGGATTATCAACAAACTTCTCCACCAGTATTCTGTCGTCCCCAAAGCTAGAGGCGGCTTCCTGTGTAGACAGTTTGAATCCCTCACGAGCTTCATCATCATTCCAGGCAATGCGCATGCCCTTTCCACCACCACCAGCAGACGCCTTGATCATCACTGGGTATCCAATATCGTTACTGATGCGCACACAGTCCTCAGCATCTTTCACAATACCATCAAAGCCTGTGAGAGTAAATAAGATACTCATTATCTTCTTGTGTAAGCGAAGGGGATTCTCAATGATCCTCCCCTACTTTCATAATCATTTCCTTAAAAATTTGCAGTCCAAATCATTAAAACGAGAGTTAAAATAATACTCTATGATAATATGAAATAATAATGATAAAAAAAGGATATTGTACTAATAAACAAACTATCAAACTGGAAAAAATTGCTGATTTTGCTTCTTTAATCATAGATACATGCCATGCCCACTGTGAGTCTACTTCTTTAATTTTAATTGTTTTTACACATAGATGGCTATAATTGTACTACAAAGTCACCAATGAGCCAATTACGAATACTGCCTGTCTCGCTCGTTTCCCTTTTCTTTGATTTACGAAAATATTTTACGTTATCTTTTTTGCTGTTACTAATGTTTATAACATTATAGTAATTATACTGTTTATAATAAAAATAACACCATCGATATTCACAGACCAAGTAAAAAATACATTTCTTGTGCCCATTCAAGGAAAGGTGACATCAGGTAAAGTCACAAGGGCTACTAATTGACTCCTTTGTGGCTAAGCACTAGCAGAGCCATCTATGTGCCGAGACATTTCACAAAAATATAAAAAAATGTGCACAGCATTTTCCCAATTTTTTATTCATTTTCCCCGGCGGCATTGGGTTAATTTTACTTCCAGTAATATTGTAACAAGCACTTCTACTGCCCCTTTTCTGAATAATTTGCATACATTTACTACAATAATTAATGTATTTCCTTTCATTTGCAAAGAGCACATAGAGTAATCATTCTTACTGAAAAACCTCTGTCTGTATCACAATACTAGCTAAACATACCTAATCTCAATATAATCTAAACATATCAACTTTTTGTCCATCATGATTCCAAATTAATTTTCTCATAAGTGTTTTGTGAAAATACTTATAAACAATAAGCTGCATAGAAAGCATGGGACATTAACCTACAGTTCAAAGATTAGATGCGGCAAGTGCTGGAAATAATTTGGCCTTCAGTCATACTTTGCCCAAAATTGAGAAATTCTGTAAGTATTCATAAGGATATTACTTCATACAAATAAAGTAGCCATTATTTGAAATTCAACTGGATGTAGTTGAAGACATTTCTGGGCCACAAAAAGACATGGCATCTGGCAGAATAACACTGTAGAGCACTAATTCAACCCAACAGCCCCGGATTTATGTTCTGTCCCCTGTATTTTTTGTGAATGTTCTTACATACAGATGGCTCCACATGTGCTCAGTTGGCAAGGAGTCCATTAGTAGCCCTAGTGACCGATCCTGATTTCTCCATTCCTTGATTTGGCAGGAAAATGTGTTTTTCTTTTTCATACAGTTGATATCGATACTGTTATTATTGGCACTGATGTTATTATTATCAAATTGTTACTAAAACCTTGGTAACATTTAAGACATTGAAATAATGCAAAAGACCCTTTCCAAAAGTCGAGGAAAAGGATAAACAGGTGAGATAGGTAGGACTAATAACAGATTCCTTGGAGACTAAACACTTGTAGAGCCATCTGTGTGTAAATACAATAAATAAACTTGTATTACAGTGGGAATGTCATGTATTCCTGCCATACAGAGAGATTGGGTTAAAAGGTATGAAGTAGAGCACAGCTATGTTTGGCAATTAAACAATTGACTACCTTATATCTCAATTAAAGACTCTTATCTAAAACAGACCTTACACACAGGATGTAATTCATATTTGGTTTGAATTAACTGGAACTAAGAGACAATAGCCATGAATAACAAGGACATTTAAATTCTATTCACAATAATTTATTTCTTGCCCTTTCTTCTCAAAGTTGTCAAAAGGACTATCACAGCAGAATCAATATTAACACTTGTAAAATCCCAGTACACTGTTTCTTCATCAATGAATGCCATGTACTGCCTTTCAGAGTGTATAATAGAATATTCGTTTTTTTCTTCTCTTAATTCACTGCTTCATTCTGAACAGCAAAACCAACTTTTTAACAACAAAAGTTTATCAATAGCCTACCTGGGATGGTATTGACTCCAGCTGCCATGGCAAGCCTTTTGGACTCAAGCTTATCACCCATGCCCGTTATAGCCTTTGCATTGGGGCCTATGAAGGTGACTCCAATGTCTTCCAACTGTTGTACAAAATCTGCATTTTCACTTAGGAAACCATATCCTGGATGAACTGCCTGTTGATACCAAAAAAGATGTTTTTTATATATATTTATATTTATATATATAGATACATAGATATATCTATATCTATCTATCCATCTATCAATCTATCTATATATAAAATAATAATAAAAAAAGCTAAATATAGGTATCAACCTATAAAACTGGGATGACTTATACATTCTTTCACACTCAACTCTCTAAAATTCTGGTCTTTTAATGATAATGTCTTGCATCATTATGGTCTTACATCATTTATCACTCAGAGCAGACAAACCTGGGAGCCAGTGGTCTTGATGGCATCCAATATCCTGTCCATCCGTAGGTAGGAGTCTCGAGCCTGGGCTGTTCCCACACAGATTGCCTCATCAGCAAGCTTCACGTGGGGCTGTTGGATGATGTCTCTTAATTACCATTCTAAAATCATGATCTCCAATAATGGAATAAATATGAACATCTGAACATTTCCCATGTATTTCATATTCACTAACCAATATGTCAATGCTGACACCTGTTTATATTATTAAACAACATATCACAAAATTATGTTCAACCCATAGAATCTGGATAATGTAACCATCATGAAAAAATTGGCTTGAGGGGTGTGTGACGTAAATATGTTGTCATCGGAAAATATGGCGACAACAGTTTGCCATCATTAGAATTTCAGCTGAAGGTCATGGTGACAGGAATGACTTGCCATGAGTGCACTGAGCTCTTGGAGGGTGATTAGACTCAGTGGGCATTTAGGAAGGGACTTCTGCATTATTTTAACTGATAAATGAGTGTGGAATGTACCATCTGTGAGCCACAAGTGTAAGATTACACTGAGTCATAGACTACTTAGAGAGATGAAATGGAGTCTGTGTAAGGAAAACAGGATATTACCATCTGGATAAAGTAAATCAAGACAAATGAGACGCTGGAAAAGTGAAAGAGAGAAGATAATATTGAAAGGGGGAGGCATGGAGTCTTGTCACCGTACACTAGTGCTCATGTGCAACTGGCCTACAAGCTACACATCCATCAGAGTGACTGCTCAAGTAAGCCTAAAGCTCATATTTCATGCCACATGTGGGCAATGAAGCATCTGGATTCATGGGGTTAAAATGTAACATATAGGAACGTATTTTCATAAATATTAAAATCCCTTACTCTAACACAAACAAGGAAATAAATGCATTGTAACTTACTGCATTAGAGTCGACATCAGAGTGGATGGCGACTGTTTTGATACCCATCTTCCTTGCGGTTTTGATGACACGACAAGCAATTTCTCCTCTGTTCGCAATCAGTATCTTGTCAAAGGTCGGTTCATTGGCATCAATTGGATCTGTGGTGTATATGGAGCATCTTCTTGCTGCTGATAATGTGAGCCCTCTTCTTCCCTGTAATTCACAAAATAAGGTTTACAAGCAAGCCACTGAGGAGTCACTGGGTAGTAAATTTGGATATTATATTGTTCCTCATGTAAACAGCATTGCTGAACCAAAATAAATTGTTTGGCTTACATGCCTTTCATGTGTTAGCAAAAGCCACAACTCCACCACAAATGTTCTGATAATATAGACATAATTTTTGCATGGGTTAAATCTTGTTCATGATCAAATCTAACAATGCAGATTTGTGTTGGTGTAGGAAACACATAAATATTGATAACATATATATAACTCTCCCTCAGCATCAAGTTTACCTAAATGTTCATGTGATGCTCTGGTGTGAATCCTATTTACAGAAATGAGATGCAAAAAAATCTAAGCATTTTGGTCATATACTTCTACTGATGAAGAACTACCATGATAATGCATATGAAAAACCCTAATGTTCCAAATACATGTACACAAAGTTATACAATTTGACATACAATTTGGCCACAAAATATGATCCACAGAAATTAAATTACAAATGCTCTAGACTATACTATAGCTGTAATAAGCCAGATAATTGAAATACAGTTTCTGAATTTGTAGTCTGTGGTTACTGTGTTGATAGCAGTAACTAGGTGCATTCATAAAGTGTCATAACTTTACAGACTAATATTACTAGAGGTCACCATAGTTAGTAAAAATATGGGGACACTAATAATTTTGGTATAATTAAAGTTCAAAGGTTGCAATGCCACAGTCCACAATCCTAACTATCTTGAACCATTGGAATATAAACATTTGTGTGAGCTTCCTGGGGATGTACAATCAAGTTAAATACACCTAAATTAATGTTTTGTCATTATAACCCTTGATGCAAAATTAACAGAGTATGACATCTTGTGCT